GGGGGATATTAGGAGAAATACGGTAAGAATTTGGGGAGGAAATTGGGGGAAAATCGGGGGTAAATTGGGGGGATATTAGGAGAAATACAGTAAGGATTTGGGGGGAATATGGGAGCAAATGGGGAAATATTAGAGGAAAAATTGGAGGAAAATTGGGGAAAGGGGGGGATTAGGGGGAATTGGGGGGAAATTGGGGGGAAATTGGGAAAAATTGGGGGAAAATTGGGGAAAAATTGGGGGAAAATTGGAGGAAAATTGGAGGAAAATTGGGAAAAATTGGGGAAAATTGGGGGAAAAATTTCGATCTAAATTGGGGAAAAATTGGCAGAAATTTGGGGGAAATTTGGGGAAAAAATGGGGGGAATTGGGGGGAATTGGGGGAAATTTAGGGTAAAATTGGGGGGGAATTGAGGGAAAATTGGGGAATAATTGGGGAAAAATTTGAGAAAAATTGGGGGAAAATTGGAGGGAAATTGGGGAAAATTGGAGGGAAATTGGGGGATATTTGGTGAAAATTTGGGATAAATTGGGGAAAATTGGGGAAAAAGTGGGGGTAAAATGAGGGAAAATTGGAAGAAAATTGGGGGAAATTGGGGGAAAATGGGGAAAAATTGAAAAATTGAGAAAAAATGAGGAAAAATGGGGAAAAATTGGGGGTAAAAATGGGGAAAATTGGAGGAAAAATGGGAAAAAATGGAGAAAAATTGGGGAAAAATTGGGGGAAAATGGGGAAAAAATTGGGGAAAATTGGGGGAAATTAGGGGAAAATGGCATAAAAATAGAGAAAAAAATTGGGAAAAATGGGGCAAAAAATGAGGGAAAATTGGGGAAAAGTTGTGGGAAAATTGGGGGAAAAATTGGGGAAAATGGGAATAAAATGGGAAAAAAATGGGGGGAAAATCAGGAAAAATTCGAGAAAAAAATGGGGAACATTGGGAATAAAATGGGGGAAAAATGGGGGAAAATGGGGGAAAAATGAAGAAAAAAATGGCAAAAAAAATTGGGTAAAATTAGGGAAAAATGGTGGGAAAATGGAGGAAATGTTGAGGAAAAATTAGGGGAAAATTCAGGGAAAAAAGTGGAAAAATTGGGGAAAATTGGAGAAAAATTTGAGGAAAATTGGGGGGAAAACGGGGAAAAAATGGGGAAAAATTGGGGGGAAAATTGGGGGGAAAATCAGGAAAAATTGGGGAAATATTGGGGAACATTTGGAATAAAATGGAGAAAAATATTGGGAAGAAAATGGGGGAAAAATGAGAAAAATTGGGGAAAAAAGAAGAAAATAATGGCGAAAAAATGGGAAAAAAGGGGCAAAAAATGGGGAAAAATTGGGAAAAAAATGGGAATAAATCAGGAAAAATTGGTGAAAAAATGGGGAACATTGGGAATAAAATGGGGAAAAAATGTGAAAGAATTGGGAAAAAAATGGAAAAAAATGGGGAAAAATCGGGAAAAAATGGGAAAAAATTGGGGAAAAATTGGGAAAAAATGGGAAAAAATCAGGGAAAATTGGGGAAAATTTTAAATAAAATGGAGAAAAAATGTGAAAAAATTGGGAAAAAATGGGGGAAAATTGGGGAAAAAATCAGTAAAAATTGAGGAAAAAATTGGGGAAAATTTGGAATAAAATGGAGAAAAAATTTGGAAGGAAATGGGGGAAAAATGAGAAAAATTGGGGGAAAATGAAGAAAAAGATGGGGGGAAAAATCAGGAAAAATTGGGAAAAAAATCTGATAAAATCAGGAAAAATTGGTGAAAAAATGGGGAACATTGGGAATAAAATGGGGAAAAAATGGGGGGAAAATAGGAAAAAATGGGAAAAAATTGGGAAAAAATGGGGAAATCAGGAAAAATCAGGTAAAATTGGGGAAAAAATGGGGAACATTGGGAATAAAATGGGGAAAAAATGGGGGGAAAATAGGAAAAAATGGGAAAAAATTGGGAAAAAATGGGGAAATCAGGAAAAATCAGGTAAAATTGGGGAAAAAATGGGGAACATTGGGAATAAAATGGGGAAAAAATGTGAAAAAAATGGGAAAAAATGGGGAAAAAAATAGGAAAAATCGGGGAAAATTGGGGAAATTTTGGGGAAATTTTGGGAATGAATGAGACTAAAAGTAAAGTAAATTGGATTTTCCCCCCACCTTGTTGGGGTTGAGGAGGTTGTTGGGGGAAAAATGGGGGAAAATCCTGAGGGGAAAAATGGGGAAAAATTGGGGGAAAATTGGGAGAAGATTGGGAATAAAATTGGGGAAAAATATAGGAAACATTGAAAAAATTTGGGGAAAATTGGGGGAAAAATTGGGGAAAATTGGGAGAAAATGTGGAAAAATGGGGAAAAATTGGGGAAAATTGGGGGAAAAATTGGGGAAAAATGGGGAAAAATTGGTGAAAAAATGGGGAACATTGGGAATAAAATGGGGAAAAAATGTGAAAAAATTGGGAAAAAAATGGGGTAAAATAGGGAAAAATCAGGAAAAAATGGGAAAAAAAGGGGCAAAAAATGGGAAAAAATGGGGGAAAAATGGGAAAAATTGGGGAAAAATTGGGGAAATTTTGGGGAAATTTTGGGAATGAATGAGACTAATTAAAACAAAACCAAGTTGGGTTTTTCCCCCACCTTGTTGGGGTTGAGGAGGTTGTTGGGGGAAAATGGGGGAAAATCCTGAGAAAATGTGAAAGAATTGGGAAAAAAATGGGAAAAAATGGGGAAAAATCGGGGAAAAATCGGGGAAAAATTGGGGAAAATTTGGAATGAAATTGAGAAAAAAATTTGGAAGAAAATGGGGGGAAAATGAGAAAAAATGGGGAAAAATGGAGGAAAAATGGGGAAAAAATTGGGGAAAAATGGGGAAAAAATTGGGAAAAATTGGGAAAAATTGGGGAAAAATGGGGGAAATTTTGGGAACGAATCAGACTAATTAAAAGTAAACCAAATTGGATTTTTCCCCACTTTGTTGGGGTTGAGGAGGTTGTTGGGGGAAAATGGGGGAAAATGCTGAGGGGAAAAATTGGGAGAAAATGGGGAAAAATTGGGAAAAATTGGGGAAAAAATGGGAAAAATTGGGAAAAAAAATGGGGAAAAATGTGAAAAAATTGGGAAAAAATGGGAAAAAATCAGGAAAAATTCGTGAAAAATGGGGGGGAAATGGAGAAAAATTTGGAAAAAAATGGGAAAAAAATGGGGTAAAAATGGGGAAAAATGGGAAAAAATTGGGGAAAAATTGGGAAAAAATGGGGAAAAATTGGGGAAAAAATGGGGAAAAAATGGGGAAAAAATGGGGAAAAAATGGGGAAAAAATGGGGAAAAAATGGGGAAAAAATGGGGAAAAAATGGGGAAAAAATGGGGAAAAAATGGGGAAAAAATGGGGAAAAAATGGGGAAAAAATGGGGAAAAAATGGGGAAAAAATGGGGAAAAAATGGGGAAAAAATGGGGAAAAAATGGGGAAAAAATGGGGAAAAAATGGGGAAAAAATGGGGAAAAAATGGGGAAAAAATGGGGAAAAAATGGGGAAAAAATGGGGAAAAAATGGGGAAAAAATGGGGAAAAATCAGGAAAAATTGGTGAAAAAAATGGAGAATATTGGGAATAAAATGGGGAAAAAAATGTGAAAAAATGGGAAAAAAAATAGAAAAAAATGGGAAAAAATCAGGAAAAAATGGGAAAAATTGGGGAAAAAATGCAGAAAATTTGGAATAATATGGGGAATAAAATGGGGGGAAATTGGAGAAAAATTGGGGAAAAATGGAGAAAAAATGGGGAAAAATTGGGGGAAAAATGGGAAAAAAATGGGGCAAAAAATGGGAAAAAATGGGGAAAAATTGGGAAAAAAATGGGAAAAATTGGGGAAAAGTTGGGGAAATTTTGGGAACGAATGAGACTAATTAAAACAAAACCAAATTGGGATTTTCCCCCACCTTGTTGGGGTTGAGGAGCTTGTTGGGGAAAAAATTGGGGAAAATCCTGAGGGGAAAAATTGGGAGAAGACTGGGAATAAAATTGGGGAAAAATATAGGAAAAATTTGAAAAAATTTGGTGAAAAAATGGGAAACATTGAAAAAAATTGGGGAAAATTGGGGGAAAATTGGGGGAAAAATTGGGGAAAAATTGGGAAAAAAATGGGAAAAATGGGATTTCTTTTTTTCCAAATCAGTCCCAAACTGGTTTAACCAGTTCCCAACCAGTCCAAACCAGTCCCAAACTGGTTTTCCCAGTCCATCCCAGTTCAAACCAGTCCCAAACTGGTTTCCAGTCCCTGTTTCCCAATCCCAAACTGGTTTTCCCAGTCCCAAACCAGTTCAAACCAGTCCCAAACTGGTTTTCCCAGTCCATCCCAGTTCAAACCAGTCCCAAACTGGTTTCCAGTCAAAAATGGGGAAAAAATGGGGAAAAATTGGGAATAAAATGGGGAAAAATTGGGACGAAAATGGGAAAAAAATGGGGAAAAATGGGGAACATTGGGAATAAAATGGGGAAAAAATGGGACGAAAATGGCAAAAAAATGGGAAAAAAAGGGGCAAAAAATGGGAAAAAATGGGGAAAAAATGGGAAAAATTGGTGAAAAATGGGGGAAATTTTGGGAATGAAAGAGACTAATTAAAACAAAACCAAATTGGGTTTCCCCCCACCTTGTTGGGGTTGAGGGCGTCGTTCCTGAGCCTCTGCTTGTTCTTCTGCAGCTTGCTGGGCATCATCTTGCCCGTGCGGAAGTCGAAGGAGCTCAGGTCCACCGCGTTGCCCAGGTAGCGCGCCAGCTGCGGCTTGCTGCGGAACTTCTTCCCGCTGGGGCTGCAAAAAGGGGGAGAATGGGAAATTTAGGGAAAATTTGGGGGGTTTGGGGGGTTTGGGGGGAAAATTGGGAAGTTTTGGTGAAAAAAAAATTTTGGCCAATAGCAACCAAATTGGTAATGATGAAGATATGAGCAAGATTTGAACAGAGGTAAATTAACAATCTTTACACCTTTTACTGGGTTGTGGGCTTTTGTTCCACATGTGGCAATTCTACTCAGAAATCACAGGTTCAATGTAGCAGGAAATTGGGGAGAAATTTTGAGGGAATTTTTAGGGAATTTTTTTGGGAATTTTGAGGGAGATTTTGGGGATTTTGGGGGGAATTTGGTTGAGAATTTTTCGAGAATTTTTTGAGAATTTTTGAAGGCTTTTTGGGAATTTTTTAGGAATTTTTGGTGGATTTTTGGAGACTTTTTAGGGATTTTTATGGAACTGATTGGGATTTTTTTGGGGATTTTTTAAGGATTTTTGGAGAATTTTTAAAGGGTTTTTGAGGATTTTTTTGGGAATTTTTTGAGAATTTTTTGAGAATTTTTTGAGAATTTTTTAAGGGTTTTTGGGGGTTTTTTAGGATTTTTTGAGGATTTTTTGGGGATTTTTTTGGAATTTTTTGCAATTTTTCTGAGGATTTTTTGGGTATTTTTTGGGTATTTTTTGGGATTTTTGGAGAATTTTTAAAGGGTTTTTGAGGATTTTTGGGGGGATTTTTGGAGGATTTTTAGGGATTTTTATGGAACTGATTGGGTTTTTTTGGAAAATTTTTGAGAATTTTTTGAGGATTTTTGCGCATTTTTTGGGAATTTTTTAGGAATTTTTTGAGAATTTTTGGAAAATTTTTTGAGAATTTTTAGGCATTTTTTGAGGATTTTTTTGGGAATTTTTGGAGAATTTTTAGGGATTTTTATGGAACTGATTGGGAATTTTTTGGAAAATTTTTGAGAAGTTTTTGGGATTTTTTTTTATTTATTCCGAATTTTTTGAACATTTTTTGAGAATTTTTAGGGATTTTTTTGGGATTTCTTGAGAATTTTTTAAGGTTTTTTTGGGGATTTTTGATGAATTTTTGATTAATTTTTGGAGAATTTTTAGGGATGTTTATGGATTTTTTAGGAATTTTTGATGAATTTTTGGAGAATTTTTTGAGACTTTTTGGAGAATTTTTAGGGATTTTTATGGAGCTGATTGGGATTTTTTGGGAAAATTTTTGAGAATTTTTTGGGATTTTTTTTAAATTTCTTGAGAATTTTTTGAACATTTTTTGAGAATTTTTAGGGATTTTTTTGGGATTTCTTGAGAATTTTTTAAGGTTTTTTTGGGGATTTTTTAGGAATTTTTGATGAATTTTTGGAGAATTTTTAGGGATTTTTATGGAAAGGATTAGGGGATTTTTAGGGAATTTTTAGGGATTTCTAAAATTTTTTTCAGAATTTTTAGGGATTTTTTTCAACTTTTTGAGCCTTTTTTGATTAATTTGTACTGATTTTTTGGGAACTTTGTGGAGATTTTTTGGGAATTTTTGAAGAGTTTCTGAGAAATTTTTGGGATTTTTTTTTTAATTTATTGAGAATTTTTGAGCATTTTTTGACAATTTTTAGGAATTTTTTTGGGATTTCTAGAGAATTTTTTGAACATTTTTTGAGAATTTTTAGGAATTTTTTTGGGATTTTTTGAGAATTTATTGAGAATTTTTCCAGGGGTTTTGGGGATTTTTTTAGGAATTTTTGATGAATTTTTGGTGAATTTTTGAGGATTTTTGGAGAATTTTTGGAGAATTTTTAGGGATTTTTATGGAGCTGATTGGAAATTTTTTGGAAAATTTTTGAGGATTTGGGGGCAATTTTTTGGGGATTTTTTGGGAATTTTTTGAGAATTTTTGGAGATTTTTTTGAGGATTTTTAGAGCATTTTTTGAGAATTTTTTGGGAATTTTCAGGGATTTTTGGGGGATTTTTTGGGAATTTTTTCGTATTTTTAAGATTTTTTAGGAAATTTTTAGTGATTTTTTGGAAATTTTTTGAGATTTTTTTGGAATTTTAGGGATTTTTTTTGAGTTTTTTTGAGATTTTTGGGGAATTTTTTGAGACTTTTTAAAGAATTTTTAGGGATTTTGGGGGATTTTTTGAGGATTTTTTAAAGAATTTTTTGAAAATTTTTTTGTGATTTTTTGAGAATTTTTGGGGAAAATTTTGGGATTTTTTGGACAATTTTTTGGGAAATGTTTGGGAATTTTGGGGGATTTTTCGATAATTTTTTGAAAATTTTTTGGTGATTTTTTGAGAATTTTTGGGGAAACTTGAGAAATTTTTCAGAATTTTTTGGGATTTTTTTTTGGGGAATTTTTTTGGGAATTTTTTTGTATTTTTCGAGGATTTTTAAGGATTTTTTTGTGAATTTCTAGGGATTTTTAGGGACTTTTTGGAGATATTTTGATAATTTTTTGGAGACTTTTTGGGAATTTTTTTGTAGTTTTGGGGGGAGTTTTTGAGAATTTTTGGGAATTTTTTTGGGAATTTTTTGTAGATTTTTTGGGATTTTTGGGGAAATTTTTGGGACTTTTTTGGAAAAATTTTTGAGAATTATTGGGGAATTTTAGAGGGAAAAATTGAGATTTTTTTGGAGATTTTGGGGGTTTTTAGGGAATTTTGGGGCGTTTTAGGGAATTTTGGAAGGGCAAAACAGAGATTTTAGGGCAAAACAGCAAAAGGAAACCCAGGATCATCCCACGGGAAGAAAATTGGGAATTCTCAGTGTCACACCCTCCTTTAATCCAGGTTTTTGCATAAACTCGTTCAGCTGGAAATTAAAATGAGTTAATTCATTATGCAAATGAGCTAATTTCCATAATAACCTTCATTTTCCCACTCCTCTTCCATCCGAGTCCTTCCAGAGTGGATTTTCCCAGCTTGAATTACCTAAAAACTCCCACAAAAAAGAAAAAATCCCAAAAATTCCATTAAAACCCCCCCAAAAAATCCATAAAATTCGCAGTCTGACTTCTTTCCCCTCAAATCCCAATTTTTCCCCCCCAAAAACATCTCTAAAAATGCCAAAAATTGCCCCCAAAAAATCCATTAAAACCCTAAAAATTCCAATCCCGGTTTTCCCCTCCAATCCCAAATTTTCACCTCAAAAATTCCATAACAACCTCTCAAAAAATCCCTTTAAAAACACAAAAATCCCTCAAAAATTCCATTAAAACAAGAAAAAAAAACTCCATAAAAATCCCAATCCCGGTTTTCCCCTTCCCATCCCAATTTTTCACCTCAAAAATTCCATTAAAAATCCCTAAAAATACTCAAAAAATCCCATTAAACCCCTCAAAAATCCCATTAAAACCCAAAAAAATCCATCAAAAAAACCAGCCCTAATTTTTCCCCCAAAAAATCCCTAAAAACCTCAAAAATCCCTCAAAACTCCTAAAAAATTCCTTTAAAAAACCCTAAAACCCCAAAAAATCCATTAAAAAACCCAACCCTAATTTTTCCCCAAAAAAATTCCCTAAAAACCTCAAAAATCCCTCAAAACTCCTAAAAAATTCCTTTAAAAAACCGAGATTTCCCTCAGAGAAGGAACCGGAACAGCCCCGTGAGGGGAGCCCGGTTCCCCCTCATGGAACCGGGATCATCCCTTGAGGGAGGCCCGGTTCCCCCTCATGGATCCGGAATCGTCCCGGGACAAAAATTCCTGCTCTCCCCTTGACAGGAGCCCCGGTTCCCCCTCAGAAAGAACCGGAATCGTCCTGGGACAAAACTCCGAGCTTCTCCCGTGAAACTCCTAAAAAATTCCTTTAAAAAACCGAGATTTCCCTCAGAGAAGGAACCGGAACAGCCCCGTGAGGGGAGCCCGGTTCCCCCTCATGGAACCGGGATCATCCCTTGAGGGAGGCCCGGTTCCCCCTCATGGATCCGGAATCGTCCCGGGACAAAAATTCCTGCTCTCCCCTTGACAGGAGCCCCGGTTGCCCCTCAGAAAGAACCGGAATCGTCCCGGGACAAAACTCCGAGCTTCTCCCGTGACAGGAGCCCGGTTCCCCCTCAGAGAGAACCGGAACTGCTCCGTGAGGGGAGCCCGGTTCCCCCTCACAGAACCGGAGTCGTCCCGTGAGGGAGGCCCGGTTCCCCCTCATAAAGAACCGGAACCGCACCGTGAGGGGAGCCCGGTTCTCCCTCACGGAACCGGAATCGTTCCGGGACAAAACTCCGAGCTATTCCTGTGACAGGAGCCCGGTTCCCCCTCACAGTACCGGCGTCGTCCCGTGAGGGGTCCTGGTTCCCCCTCATGGAACCGGAGTCGTCCCGTGAGGGGGGCACGGTTCCCCCTCATGGAACCGGAATCGTCCCGGGACAAAACTCCGAGCTATTCCCGTGACAGGAGCCCAGTTCCCCCTCATGGAGCCGATACCGTCCCGTGAGGGGGGCACGGTTCCCCCTCATGGAACCGGAATCGTCCCGGGACAAAACTCCGAGCTCCTCCCGCCGTGACAGGAGCCCGGTTCCCCCTCACAGTACCGGCGTCGTCCCGTGAGGGGGGCACGGTTCCCCCTCATGGAACCGGAATCGTCCCGGGACAAAACTCCGAGCTATTCCCGTGACAGGAGCCCAGTTCCCCCTCATGGAGCCGATACCGTCCCGTGAGGGGGGCACGGTTCCCCCTCATGGAACCGGAATCGTCCCGGGACAAAACTCCGAGCTCCTCCCGTGACAGGAACCCCGAATCCCCCTCAGAGAGAGAACCGGAACCATCCGGTGACAGGAGGCGGTTCCTCCTCATGGAACGGGAATCGTCCCGTGCCAAAACTCCGAGCTCCCCCACTGAAAAGAACCCGGAATCCTCTTCAGAGAGAATCGGAATCGCTCCGCGACAGGAGCCCGGTTTCCCTTCAGGGAGAACCGGAACCGCCCCGTGACAGGAGCCCGGTCCCCCCTCAGAGAGAACCGGAATCCCCCCGTGAAAGGAGACCCGGCTCCTCCTCAGAAAGGACCGGAACCCCCCCGTGACAAAACTCCGAGCTCCCCCGTGACAAGAGCCCCGCTTCCCCTCAGAAAGTGAACCGGAATCGCCCCGTGACAGGAGCCCGGTCCCTCCTCAGAGAGAACCGGAATCCCCCCGTGAAAGGAGCCCGGTTCCCCTCAGAGAGAGCCGGAACCACCCCGTGACAAAACTCCGAGCTCCCCCCGTGACAGGAGCCCGGTTCCCCCTCAGAAAACCGGAACCGCCCCGTGACAAAACTCCGAGCTCCTCCCGCGACAGGAGCCCGGTTCTCCTCAGAAAGTGAACCGGAAACATCCCGTGACAGGAGCCCGAGCTCCCCTCGGAGAGAACCAGAATCGCCCCGAGCTCCCCCGCGACAGGAGCCCGGTTCCCCCTCAGAGAACCGGAACCGCCCCGCGACAAAACTCCGAGCTCCCCCGTGACAGGAGCCCGGTTCCCCTCAGAAAGTGAACCGGAATCACGCCGAGCTCCCCCCCTTGACAGGAGCCCGCGCTCCCCCTCACACAGGGAACCGGAATCGCCCCGTGACAGGACAGCCCTGCCAGAGCCATGGCGGAAGCGAGCGAGCTATGACAGCCGGGCCGGCGGCGTGTGGGCACCGACCCCACTGTCCCTACCCAGCCGCGGCTCCGGGAGCGCCCCAACCTCGGCAGCCTCACCGGGATCCCTCGGGCCCGTACCTGAAGTAGTAGACATCGCTCTTGCCGGCGCTCAGGCCCGACTTTCGGATCACCTCTTCCTTCTTCCAGCCGGGAGGCAGCGCGGGACAGTCCATCCTGCCGGGCTTCTCCATGCGCCGGCCCGGCGGGACGGGGCCGCTGGGGCCCGGGGTTGCCGGCCCGGCTCGGCCGTTGGTTGTTGCCGGCGCCGCTCGCTGCTGCCGGCCCGGCTGGGCCCGGGGCCGGGACCCCGCGGCGATGCGAGCGCGGCCTCCGGGCGGGGCAGAGCGGCCGCGCCGCACCATAGAGAGACAGCGGGGGCGGGACCGCGGCGGCCGCCGGGGCACGGCGGGGCTCGGAGCGGGAACCGTGAGGGACAACCATGGCGGGAGCTTGAGGGGAAACGTGAGGGGGGAACCGGAGCGGGACCCGTGGCGGGACCTCAGTGCGAGACCCCTGAGGGGGAAGCATGGCGGGACTCACGGTACGACCGCAGAGCGAGACCCCTGAGAAGAAACCGGAGCGGGATTCCTGAGGGGGGAATCATGGCGAGACCCCTCAGGGCGAACCGGAGCGGGACCCATGGCGGGACCTCAGTGCGAGACCCCTGAGGGGGAAGCATGGCGGGACTCACGGTACCACCGCAGAGCGAGACTCCTGAGGGGAAACCGGAGCGGGACCAATGGCGGAACTCCTGACGGGGAAAGCCGGAGCGGGAATCCTGAGGGGGAGCCATGGCGGGACCCCTGAGGGGAGCCATGGGCGGATTCATGTGGGAAAACCGGAGCGGAATCCCTGAAGGGGAACCGGAACGGGACTAATGGCGGGACCCCTGAGGGGGAATCATGGCGGGACCCCTGAGGGGAAACCGGAGCGGGACCCTTGAGGGGAAACCGAAGCGGGACCCTGAAGGGAAATCATGGCGGGACTCACGGTACGACCGCAGAGCGAGACCTCTGAGGAGGAACCATGGCGGGATTCATGAGGGGAAACCGGAGGGGGATTCCTGAGAAGAATCATGGCGAGACCCCTGACGGGGAACCATGGCGGGATTCATGAGGGGAAAACCGGAGCGGGACCCCTGACGGGGAACCACGGCGGGACTCACGGTAGGACAGCAGAACGAGACCCCTGAAGGGAAACCGGAGCGGGACCCCTGAGGGGAAACCATGGCGGAATTCCTGAGGGAGAATCATGGCGGGACCCCACAGGGGGCAGGGACCCTAAGGAAGCCGAATTCGCCATTGCCCTTCCCCGCTTTCATCCGCGGGATCCATCCCGGCTTCCCCCCCACCCCGCCTCAGCCGGCGCTAGGACCGAGCCCAGGCGGCCATACCACGTCCGGTGTCCTTCCCATTTCCGTTCCCGGTAACATTCCCGGCATCGGTTACCGGGAAAACGTCGGGATCCACGGAGGAGCCATTGCCGGAGGAGCGGCTGAGGGGTGAGCGCGGGAAAAGGGGGGGGCAAAGATGGCGGCGGCTCTGAGGGGAAGCGGCGGCTCTGAGGGGAAGCCGCTTTTTATCTTAAAAACAATCCCGAAAATTATTAAATTATTAATAAACAATCAAATAAATTATTGTAATTTCCTCTGTGAATGTGTTTGGATGAAGAAAATAAAAGGTTGGGAATGTTAAAATGTTGGTTTTGTGCTGTTGCAGAGCTGGATTGTTGCTATGCCCAAGTGGAAACGCTCCGGAATTCCGAATTAAAATGCACATTTTCGGGTAGGAATAATTTTATTGGGAATTTTTAGGAATATTGAGGGAAAAATAGGAATTTTGAGGAAAAATATGGGAATTTTAGGGGAAAAATGTGGATTTTGGGGGGAAAAAATTGAGATTTTTGAGGCAAAAAATGAATTTTTTTGAGGAAAAATGAGGGGTTCTTTAAGGAAAATGGGAATTTTGGGGGGGGGGAATGGGATTTTGAGGGAAAAATTCTGATTTTTTTTGCCAAAAAATGAGATTTTAGGAAAAAAATGAGCATTTTGGCAAAAAAAAAAGGAGTTTAGGGAGGAAATGGGGATTTTAAGGGGAAAAAATGAGATTTTAGTCAGGGTCAAAATGGGATTTTTTTGGGAGAAAATGTGGGATTTTGGATGGAAAAAATGAGGAATTTTGAAGAAAAAATGGGAGTTTTTGGGGAGACAAATTTGGGAATTTTGGGGGAAAAAATTTGGAATTTAGAGGGAAAAATTTGGGTATTTTAGGGAAAAAATTGGGAATTTTGGGGGGAAAAAAAGAGATTTTAGTAAGGGGGAAAATGGGAATTTTTTGGGAAAATTGGGAATTTTAGGGGGGAAAAATTGGATTTTTGGGGAAAAATTTGGGAATTTTTGGGAGAAAAAAAGAAATTGGGGGGAAAAATTGGAATTTTGGGGGGAAAATGGAGATTTTAGTAAGGGAGAAAATGGGAATTTTTGGGGGGAGATTTGGGAGTTTAGAGGAGAAAAATGGAAATTTTGAGGGAAAATTTTTGAATTTAGAGGGAAAAAAGAGAATTTTTTGGGATTTATCCGGAATTTTTTCCCCACAGGAAATGGAAGAATCCAAAGCTTCAAAAAGGAGAAAAATCCCAGAAAATTCCAGGGAAAAAAAATCAAATTTTTCATGGAAAATTCCCAGAAAAAATCAGGATTTTGGAGGGAAAAATGCACAGAAAAGCCAAAAATTCAGGAATTTATTGAGAAATTTGGAATTTTAGTAAATTTTTGGGATTGGGAATTCCATTAAAAAAATCCTAAAAAAATTCCTAAAAACCCCCTTAAAATTAAATTAAAAGTCCCATCAAAAAAAAAAAAAAAAAAAAAAAAAAACCCCAAAAATTTCAATTTAAAAGCAAAAGAATCCATTCAAAATTCTATAAAAATCCCCCAAAAATTCCATTTAAAAATTTTTAAAAAATCCTTAAAAATTCTCAAAAAATCCTAAAAATTGCCCAAAATCCCCCCAAAAATTCCATATAAAATAAAAAAATATTTCAAAAAATCTCTAAACAATTCTTTAAAAATCTGTAAAAATCCCAAAAAAATCCATTAAAAATCCCAAAAAATTTATTTCAAAAAACCCCCAAAGTATTCCTTTAAAAATAGAAAAAATTCCTTTAAAAAGCCTCAAAAATTCCTTCCAAAAAAACCCAAAAATTCCAAATAAATCTTTAAAAAAAACCCAAAAATTCCACAAAAAAGACCCCCAAAATCCCCCAAAAAATCAGTGTAAAAACTCCAAAAATTCCATTAAAAATCTCCCAAAAAACCCCAAAAATTCCATTAAAAACACAAAAAAATGCAGTAAAAAACCCCAAAATTATTTAATTTAAAAACCCAAAATACCCCAAAAATGCTTTAAAAACCCAAAAAAAATTCCTTTAAAAATTAAAAAAACCAAAAAATTTCCTTTAAAATTCCAAACAAAATCGGGATTTGGGGATTTTTTGGAGCAATAAAATTAAAAATTTTTTGGTGGTTTTATTCTGGTTTTTTTTGTGGGATTTTGGTATTTTTTTGGGTAGGAATTCCAGGAAGAAATTTGGGAATTTTGGGGGAATTATTTGGGATTTTTAGGGGAAAAAATGGGAATTGTTGGGATTTTTGGGGGGGGGAATTTTGGGGATTTTTTGGGGGAAATTGAAGGAAGAAATTTGGGAATTTTGGGGAATTTTTGGATTTTTTGGGGGAATTTTTTCGAATTTTGGGGGGATTTTGGGGATTTTTTGGGAGGTATTCCAGGAAGAAATTTGGGAATTTTGGGGAATTTTTGGATTTTTTGGGGGAATTTTTTCGAATTTTGGGGGGATTTTGGGGATTTTTTGGGAGGTATTCCAGGAAGAAATTTGGGAATTTTGGGGAATTATTTGGGATTTTTAGGGGAAAAAATGGGAATTTTTGGGATTTTTTGGGGGAAATTTTTTTGATATTTAGGGTGGAATTAAAGGAATAAATTTGGGAATTTTTGGGGATTTTTTGTGAGGTATTCCAGGAAGAAATTTGGGCATTTTGGGGGAATTATTTGGGATTCTTAGGGGAAAAAAATGGAAATTTTGGGGATTTTTTGGGAGGAATTGAAGGAAGAAATTTAGGAATTTTGGGGAATTTTTTCGAATTTTGGGGGATTTTTGGGTGGATTTTCAGGAAGAAATCGGGGAATTTTTGGGGGAATTATTTGGGATTTTTAGGGGGAAAAATTGAGAATTTTGGGGAATTTTGGAGAGTTTTTTGGGGGGAATTGAAGAAAGAAATTTGGGAATTTTGGGGGATTTTTTTGAGGGAATTTTGGGGATTATTGGGGGAATCAGAGGAAGAAATTTGGGAATTTCGGGGATTTTTATGTGGAATTTTCAGAGGGCCTGAGGCAAAGACGAGGAACCCTGAGGGGACCAAGAGCCTGAGGGGAAGAGGAGAAAATCCTGGGGATTTTTTAAAGATTTTTGGGGTTTTTTGGGGATTTGGGGACTTTTTTGGGGTTTTTTTGGAATGTTTGGGAGCTTTTTCCGCCTCTAATTCCCGATTTTTCCTGGAACCTGAGGGGAAGGAGGGAAACTCTGAGAGGATGCAGAGCCTGAGAATCCCAGAGCCTGAGGGGAGGGGAGAAACCCTGAGGAACTTTCGGGGTTTTCTGGGTGTATTTTTGTGATTTTAGGACTTTTTTTTGGGTATTTTTGGAATTTTTGGGAGCTTTTTTCCACCTCTAATTCCCGATTTTCCCCCGTACCTGTGCCGCTACCTCGGGATTGATCTGCGGGGAACGGAGCCTCCCGAGGGTTTCCCGCCGGCGGGAAAACCTGAGGGGATCCCGAGCCTGAGGGGAAGGTGGAAAACCCTGAGGAAATTTTGGGATTTCAGGGCTATTTTTGGGGTTTTAGGACATTTTGGAGGGTTTTTGGGAGCATTTTCACCTGTAATTCCCGGTTTTTCCCCGAGCCTGAGAGGACCCCGGAGCCTGAGGGGAAAGGCGGGAAACGCTGAGGGGACCCGGAGCCGGAGGGGAAGGGGAGAAACTGAGGAAATTTTGGGGTTTTCTGGGTGTATTTTTGGGATTTTAGGACTTTTTTGGGGGGTATTTTTGGGGAGCTTTTTTCTACCTCTAATTCCCGAATTTTCCCTGAGCCCGAGGTCAAAGGCGGTAATTTTCCCTGAGCCGGAGGTCAAAGGCGGGAAACCCTGAGGGGACCCCGAGCCTGAGGGGACTGGGAGGAAACCCTGGGGATTTTTTAAAGATTTTTGGGGGATTTGGGGACTTTTTTTGGGTATTTTTGGAGCTTTTTTGCACCTCTTAATTCCCGATTTTCCCCTGAGCCTGGGAGGATCCAGAGAATGAGGGGAAAGACGGGAAAACCCTGAGGGGACCCCGGAGCCTGAGGGGAAGGGGAGAAACCCTGAGGAATTTTTTGGGATTTTTGAATTTTTTTTTGGCTTTTAAGACTTTTTTGGGGTTTTTTAAGAATTTTTGGGA